TAATTCCTAGGACTTTAATCCATTTTTAGTTTACTTGTACAGGGTGAGGAATAAAAATCATGCCTCATTTTTTTTTCACATATGGACAGCCTGTTTTGCAGCACCATTTGTTGAAAAGGCTGTTTTTCTCCAATGTGTGTTTTAGCAACTTTATGAAGGATCAGATGACTATAATCTGTGTGAGTTTGTCTGTCTCATTATGTGTCATTATATATATATTCATATATATATGTTCTCTTGATATATATAATATATACTCTTGATATATAGAATATATACTCTTGATATATAGATATATATATATAACTTTTTGATATATATATATAACTGTTGTTACTATTTTTTACTATTGCACTTTTTGTTACTTTTGCTCTGTAGTATAATTTGAAGTCAGGTCTTGTGATCCTTCCAACATTGATTTTTAGGCTTGGAATTGCTTTGGGTATTCTGGGTCTTTCATTCTTCCAAAGGCACTTTAGAACTATTTTATGTAGTTCTGTGAAAAAAATCTCATTGGAGTATTTTGATGGGGATTACATTGAATCTGTGTATTACTTTTGGTTTTATGTTCATTTTAGCAATATTCATTCTGCTTATCTCTGAATGTGGGAGGTCTCTCCATCTTCTTGTGTCTTCAGTTTCTTTCTTCAATGTTCTATAGTTTACATTGTAGAGGTCTTTTACCTCCTTGGTTTGATTTACTGCAAGGTATTTTCTTTTTCAAGGTTATCATGAATGGTGTTGATTTTCTGATTTCTTTCTCAGGTGATTTATTATTGGGGTATTGGGACTTCTAAGTATAGAATTGTTAAATTTTCAATCATTGATGATTCAACTTCTTCTTTTTCTATTTTTATCCCATTGATGTCCTTCTCTTGCCTATTTGCTCTGTCTAGAATTTCTAGTAGTATATTGAATAGGAGTGAGGAGTGTAGACATCCTTTTCTTGTTCTAAATTTTCATGGAAATGCTTTCAGTTTTTTCCCATTCACTATGATGTTGCCTTTGGCTTTGTTGAATATAAATTTTATGATGAGGTAAGTTCCTTCTATGCCTAGTTTCCTTGGTGTCTTTATCATGAATGAATGCCAAATTTTGTTGAAGGCTTTCTCTGCATCTATTATGATGAGTATGATTTTTTCTCCTTAATTCAATTCATGTGGTATATTACATGTATTGCTTTGTGAACATTAAACTATCACTGCATCACTGGGATAAATTCTTCTTAGTCATGATGCATAATCATCTTAATATGTTGTTGAATAAAGTTTACTAATATTTTATTAAGAATTTTTTTATCTAAGTTCATCAGAGATATTGATCTGTTGTGATACTGGCTTTGGTCTGATGGTGATACTGTCTTCATAGAATGAATTTGAAGTGTTTTTTTTTTCTGCATACGATTTTTTAAATAATTTGAAGAGCATTGGCATGAGTTCTCCTTTAAAGTTCTGGTAGAATTCATCTGAGAATCATTGTGTTCCTGGGGTTTTCTCTGTTGAATAGTCTTTTAGTCAGCCTTTTTGTTACTGTGACCAAAAGTTCTGACAAGAAAAATTTTAGAGGAGGAAAAGTTTATTTGGTACTCATGATTTTAGAGATCTCAATCCATAGATGGCCAACTATGTTGGGCCCTAAGTGAGGCAGAACATCATGGTGGAATCGCATGGAGTAGAATAGCAGCTCAGGACATAGCGATCAAGAAGCAGAGAGAGAGAGCTTCATTTATACAATATAAGCCCTAAGGCACGTCTGTAGTGACTTAAACCAGGTAGCCAACCCTACCCACCTAAAGTTACCTCTGGATTAATCCACTGCTTAGGTCATACCTCTCTAATCACTTCACCTCTAGAAATCCTTGCATTGTCTCACACATGAGCTTTTGGGACTCTTCATATTTAAAGCATAACAGATGGCTTTTATTACTGCTTCTATCTCATTTCAATTTATTGGTCTGTGTAAGTTTTCTCTGTCTTATTGATTTAATTTTGGAAGGTCATATGTGTCTAAAAATATATCCATTTCTTCTAGGTTTTCTAAGTATTGGAATATAGGTTTTCAAAACTGTCCCTAATAATTCTCTGGGTTTCTGGGATATCTGTAGTGATTTCCTTTTTTATTTCTAATTTTATTAATTTCAGTCTTTTCTCTTTTTCTTTTAATTGTTTGGCTCTTTTATCTTCACATCAACTCTTTCTATCACACCCCTTCCCACTCTGAAGGGCCTCCCCCAGGTGGTGCAACTTGTCCACCTGCCTTGATCCTCTCTTCCCAGGCCTCTACTTCCTTCTTTTCTCTGATTCTGCATTAATTTGTAGTACACTGCCCTGGTTTCTGTTTGGTGTTTAATTGTGGTAAAATAGACATAATGTACAGCTTCCTATTTTAACCATTTTGAGTGTACAATTCAGTGCCATTAAGCGTGTTCACATTTTTGTGGAAACTGAAACTCTGTACCCATTAAACACTAAGCATCCATCCCCCCACCCCAGTCCTTGTCATCTTTCTGCCAGCATTCTACATTCTGTCTCTATGAATTTAACTCCCTAGATTCCATACAAGTACAATCATACAGAATTTGTCCTTTCATGACTGGCTTTTCCACTTAGCTCATGTCCTCAAGATCATCCATGGTGTAGCAATTGTCAGAATGTCCTTCCTTTTCAATGCTAAATAATATTCATTTCACAAATAAGCCATATTGTGATTAGGTTTTCTTCAGTTGATAAATACTGTGGTTATTTGTACCTTTTGGATTTGGGGAACAATGCTACTATGAATGTGGGTGTACACATACCTCTGGATTTCCCTGTCTTCACAACTTTTGTGTTTATGTCCAGAAATACAATTACTAGATTATATAGAAAGTATCTTTTCCATATTTGGAGAAACCATCATACCATTGTCATAGCAGCTGCTCCATTGTGTGTATATATATATATATATATATATATATATAGGCAAGCAATGCACTGTGCTGCAGTTTTCTCTGTAGTTATGAACTTGTTCATTCTGTATTCTTTTTTTTCTAAACAGTAGTCATCCTCATGGGTACAAAGTAGAATGTCACTGTGCTTTTATTTTCATTTCCCTAATGACTGCTGATGTTGAGTGTCTTTTTGTGTGCTTATTGGCTATTTGTATATCTATCAGACACCTGGCTGTAGTGATACTTTGCCCGATTCTGAATAAATTCAACATTTTTCTTATTTTTGAGTTTTTGAGATTCTTTTTTGTTTGCTTGTTTTATGGAGCTGGGATCAATCTTAGACCCTTGCACATGCTAGGCAGGTGTTCTATAGCTGAGCTAACCCCAGCCCAAGATATATAGATATATTTTAATGTTCATCTCTTATTAGATATGTGACTTGCAGATATTTTCTCCCATTTCACACGTCACCATTTCTATGGGTGACCTTTGGTGTATAGATGTTTTTAATTTTGATGAGTCCAATTTATCAATTTTTTCTCTACTGTGTGCTTTTGGCGTCCTATGGAAAATGTGGTTAAATCCTTTGTTTTGAAGATTATGGCCAATACATTGTCACATATTATATATACTTTTTATTTGTTTTATTTTTGTACTATGAGTTGAATCCAGGTTCTCTCACATTCTAGTGTGTGGTCCCCACTGAGCTACTCCCAGTAAATTTTTATTTTGCGAAAAGGTCCTGCTAAGTTGTCCAGGTTGGCTTTTAACTTCCACTCATCTGCTTCAGTTTCCTGAGTATTTGGGATTACAGGCACATATCACAATATGTACCAGTCAGTGTGTTTTCTTCTAAGAATGTTTGCTTTTATAGTCTGCATTTTTTTTCACTTTGAGTATGTGTGTATGTGTGTGTGTGCACGCGCACACACACACGTGGGCACACACTCTGAGTATTGAATCCAGGTATTTGCAGAAGCTAGACAAGCACTCTATCATTGAGCTACATCCCCAGACCTGAGTTAATTTCTATACATGAGTAACTAAAGGATCCAACTTCATTGTTTGTGAAAATCCAAATTTTCTAGCATATCTATTGGAAAGACACAATGTGTTTGTGGGGGGCTATGGAAAAATAGAGTTACTTTGGATTAGATGGAGGGAAGTGAAAGGAGAGGAGGGGGTATGGAGTAAGAATGATAGTAGACTGAATCGGACATTATTACCCATGTGCATATATGATTACATGACCGGTATAGCTCTACATCATATACAACCAAAGCAATGAGAAGCTATATATACTCCATCTATATATGTTGGGTCAAAATGGATTCTACTGTCACATATAACTAATTAGAACAAATAAAATAAATAAATACATACATAAAGAAAAAAAAGCTACATCAGTTCTTTGGAAACACTGCTACCTGCTTTTTCCCAGGGGATGCTTCTAGGACAATTTAAGTCTCCCACCTGAGGCTTCCAGATGCTGATCATTTACTTTGGACCAAGCCCACTGCTTCACTTCCCTTTAGGGTACAACCCCACTCAACACTTTGGGGCCACAACCCTCACACTTACTTTGACCCCCTGTCTGCCTCACCTTATCCATGAGAAGTCTGCACATAGACAGCACACACACACCCTCTGGGGACCTTCCCTGCCTGGGCTTCACTTCAGTGACCATAGGCCCACCCACCCTCTGCCCTTCCTGTGCCCTCTCTGCACTCTGACAAGCCCTACCATGCACCTCTGCCCCTCCCACACCTCCCTTGCCTCTGTAGGCCAACCTCTCCCCTTGAACACCCACCTGTACCCTTAAGAACCCATGCCTATGTGTTGGGCCCTGGCCAACTTGCCTGCCCCTCTCCATTTCCCCTTTGTGCATTCCTCACTTCCCCTCTCCTTCCTCTCTACTTTCCTGTCTTCATTGCATTGGGAACCTTTCTTCTGTCCCTTTGTGAATGTTTGCTGCCTCCTCAGGTGCTCAGGACAGCAGAGCCTTTGTGGTGAGCATTGGTGAGCAGTTGTTTCCTGGAAGAGGTGTCATCTGTTGCTTCCTCTTCCACAGGAACCCACAGTCTTCACTATAACCTCACAGTGAGGTCCCAAGGTGGATCAGTGCAATCAAGGTCCTTTGCCAATGGTTATTGGGACCATCAGCTCTTCCTTCACTTTGATAGTGACAAAAAAGAAAGTGTAAAGCCCCAGGGGCCATGGGCAGAAAAACCTTTGGGAACTGAAAGCTGGGACACAGAGATCCAGGAGTTGGCAGAGCACAGCAAGAATCTAAAAGCAACCCTGGCAGATATCAATGCCTGGCAAGAGCAGAAAGGAGGTGAGTGTGGGCAGGGGCAAGTGTGATGTGAGGCTTTGTCCAGGACCTGTGTCTTCTCATTGCAATTGACTGGGGAGGGCAAGAAATGGGCTTTATACAGACCTGCACAGGGGACTTGGAGGAGAGCCAGGTTGGGGTCCCCTGTGGGCTAGTATTTTTCACTTGGTGGGCAGGGAGGCGGAGGGCCTAGGGAATGGAGAAGTGACTGGTGGGTGGGGGCAGGGTCTCATTTCCTCCAGGAGACTTGGGGCTGCAAGATTCACAAGGACAACTGCACCAGGGCCTTCTGGAATTTCTACTATGATGGGGAGCCCTTCCTTTCCTATCATCCAGAGACACGCAGCTGGACAGTGGAGCCATCCTCAGCTCAGAACTTGGCTATGGAAGTCAAGAATTCCTGGGATGCAGATGACATACAAAACAAGGATTACTGGGCCCAAGTGCAGGGAGAGCTTTGTGGAAGACTCAGGAGATATCTAATCTTCTGGAAGGACTCCCCTGGAGCCTCTGCCCAGAGAACCTTGTGTGAGTTTATCGTGTTGTGATTTGCCTGTCCTGTCACACCGCTAGATAGAGACAGGAGGGTGTATGTGCCCAGACACAAGTGAGCCCTCACCTCCCTGCCTGATATGATAGCATAGAGAGCTCCCACCTGGCCCCACAACCCTCGACCCCCCAAAATACCCCTCATCACCTCACAAACCAGAATTCCTATAACACCCCCTATTTAACATAACACGTTGAAGTGAGAATGTGAGGCCACAAGCCCAGTGACCATCCTCCTGCCAGTCAGAGGACTCAGGCTCCAGGTTGAAAACAGACTTGTGGACCTCACTTCAATGAGGTCTTGGGCCAGAGTCAGAAGAGTGGAGAAGGGGAGTGAGGCTTGGTCACATGCCTGACTATTTTTGCCTTTGTTTCCTTCCAGTGTTTCCAGCAGTGAATGTGACCTGTGCTGAGGCCCTGGAGGACACCATCAATGTGACATGTTGGGCTTTTGGCTTCTATCCCCAGAATATCTCTGTGACCTGGCTTCAGGATGGGGAACCCCTGAGCCAGGGCACCCAGCAGTTTGGTGGTATCTTTTCCTATGAGAATGGGACCTACCAGACCTGGGTGTCTACCAGGATTCCCCAAGGACTGGAGCAGGGGTTCAGCTGCCATGTGGGACACAGCGGGAACAACAGCACTGGCTTTGTGTCCTGTAGTGAGCTTGGGGGTCCCAGCAGTGGTTCCCAACCAGGTGAGTCAGTGACCAGGGTGGTGAGAGGGAGAAGCCTTGAGGCTCAGTACCCAGAGTGTAACAATCCTGCTTTCAGGGACTGCACTGCTGCTTCTGAGCCAATGGACTGCCTTCCTGGGTGTGGCTGCTGCTGCTGTTGCTGTGATTATGATTATTGTTTGTGTCTGCTCCTGCAAGAAAAGGAAGACAAAATCTACTGCAGAAGGTTCAGGTGAGAAAAGCGTTCACTGGCTGGGGATTGCAGGGCCTATTTGGAATGTAGGGTCTCTTGTGCCTCCCCTTGCACAGAGAACAGTGGAGGTGACCAGCTTTCTGGAAAAGAGGATGGAGTTCTGTCTCCAGCCACACCCCTTAGTCTTTCCAAAAGCCAGGGCTGTCAACATTTCTGAAGGTCCAGATACAGCCTCTGTGGCTACAGGGTGAGGAGTGAGCAGCAGTGGGGCTGTGGCTTCTGCTGTCCTCATCTGTCTCTCAGGCTTTCCTGGGTTGACCAGAGGACTGTGTTGGGAATGGAGGGCTGATTGGTGCTAGCTAGATTATCTTGCCCTCAGGGGGACACAGAATGAATGAGTTGTGAACTTTGGATGCTTAGAAACTGGAGAGGAATTTCATGAATGGTGATGCCACTGATCCCTCCCCTCACTCTCCCCCAGTGTCTCTGGCTGTCAGGAGCAAACCAGGAAAAAGATCCATAGGGCCAGAGCCCTGTCAATGCAGACTCTGGGAGGCCTGTGTAGAGCAGGCCCTCCTAGGAGCTGTCTTCTGAGTATCTCCTCTGGGTCACTTGGCCATGCCAGTCACCATCTTGTCCCCACTATACAGCTCTTCCTCCTGGAGTGGCCTTGCAGATGACATGGACAGGAGAATGACTTATGGCCATCTGGAGAGAGAGACCAACCTAATATAGGACAGCTGTGGTCACTGTTTTTCTCTTATGTCTGGAATTTTCCAGTGTAGCCCATAGGGGTGTTGGTCCCCACAGGCTAGGGCACACAGTCCCCTAGCAGGGGCCCATTCAGGTGACTCTACAAGTAGGGTAGGCAGCTCTGTGGTCTCTGCCGCTCCCATCTATGGCCTTCCAAGAGGGGGAACAAGGGAAATGCTAGTTCTACTTTCTTGTGGTCAGAAATGGTTGCCTAGAATGTCACTAGGACAGTGCCCAGGAAAAGAGTGGGAAAGGCCTGTTGCTTATTTTTGCAAATTTCTACTTTGAATGTTGAATCTCAGTAAGGATGTTCCCAGTTTCAACTGTATCATGTGAATAAGCAGTTCTCCAGCACTCACGTACTAATGTGCACTAATTGTCACCCTTAGAGATCCCTCTAAAAGAGTGTCCCCTGTGGGAGATCTGGATTGTGACCATGACAATGCAAAGGAACAGAAGATGGGCCTACAGTTCACACTGCAGAATCTCAGGAAAACCCTAGTTTTCTTTGGGAAGAAGACCTCTGAGGACTGTGAGGATTGTGGCCTGCAGAAGTCCCTGCTAGGTATGGAGGTAGGGAGTCTAGGGCAGCCTCAGGAAAAAGAAGCCCTTGGGGAAGAACTGGGTTCCCAGCAGCAGGTAGTCCACGCAGGTAGGGGAAGCAAAAGTGCAGATTGAGAGCTTGGGCAGGTGCAGAGGGTCAGTAATTCTGAGTCTCCTCTGCATGGGCTGTTGTAGGCAGGGGAGCAGCAGATCATGTGGCAGGCATGCTTTTCCAGCTAGGCCTGCTGGTGCCCCTGGGCTTCCTGGTGGACTGTCCAGTTAGGAGCTGCTGGCTCAGGCCTGGGAGGGAGGGAGGCTGAGCTGCAAGTGGGGCAGGCCCTGGTGGGTGAGCACCTTCCTCTGCAGGGGAGGAGGCCTGTGAACTAAGGGGGAAAAGGGGTCTGTGTGAGTCATGTGCCCATCCTGGCAGGAGCAGGAGATGCCTTCTCTTGGAGGCCCTCACTCTTTAGGGAATGATTTACATTTGGAGGAGGGGACACTGGACTTCACTTCCAGATCTTGTCCCTGAATCCTGCAGCCCTTTCACTCCCTTCTGTGGTGGAAACAGAGACAGGTGACACTGCTGATAGAAACAGAGGAGCCTGATAAGGGCAGGAAAATGGGATGAGAGGAGAAAAAAAGTCAGGGCATTTACTTCCCTCAGAGAAGGGCCAAATCTGATTCTTGAGGTACTGAGGAGAAGTCCCAAGGGAGTAAACAGCAATATTCTGCAACAAATTGAACACTGACAGGTTCCTCTTTTTCCCTAGAGCCCCTGAGCCTATATAACCTGGATCAGCAGCAGAGGACACCAAGTGACTACACTGGATCCACACAGCTGGGGTGTCAACCTTTGCTGAGAGCTCCTGGGGCTTCTGGGGGAGCTTACACTGGGCAGCCCTGCTGTGACAAGCACTTTATATCTTGGTGCCTTGGTTTCCTCATCTCTACAATGTGGAAACATATGTTTGCTAACTAGTGCAGCTGTTCTGTACTAGTATTCTTATTATTTTACTGTATTTTAGCACATTACAAATAATTATGGTATTTTAAGAAATGAGATTATTTGTAAGTGTCCTTATTCTGCCTCCTCCCAAGAAACCTAAAATACTCTCCTTCAGTGTTGAGGGAACTTCAAACCCTCTCTGACTCTCTGTCTTACCTCTTGTCTATATCATTTTACATTATAAATGTTTAAATATTTTTAAATGTGAAACTTTTAAATATTAAATATATCTGGCCTGTGTTCACGTTCCGGGAAGGGACCGTGTGAAAGGGGTCAACAAAAATAACATGTTTGTCTCCATGTTTGACAGAGTTAAACATATGTTTAACATAGCGTGATGAGAGCCAGAGTCTGTGGCATTTTTAAAAAATATTTTTAATTGATTTCATTTTTTAAATACATGTCGGCAGAATGCATTATAATTCTTATTACACATATAGAACACAATTTTTCATCTCTAGAGTCTGTGGCATTTTGCAGATGATGTTGAATGAATGTGCTGGCTTCAAATTCTGAGGAATTTTGCAGTGTTCTTCATAACAACTGAGGTGTTGGTGCCAATCCTTTGCAAGACAGCTGCTTTATAGCCTGGCAGAGATGAGCTTTCCAGGAGGAATTTCCATGGGCCATCCTGAACAGGCATAATTTCCTTTCATCAGAGATTTCTTAGCAAGAATTTGAAGATGGCAAGGGCACAAAAATTCAACTACAGCCTCCAAGGAAGACCTTTTTCTTTTTTATAGCCTAATGTGAATGGCATGCACAAATCCAGAGCTCTCTTGTCTGGTTTACATTGTACAGTGATGTGGCTGGTAAAGCTTGCTATCATCAGATTACTTCCTCCTGTTTTTAGCAAGATTGTCATTTGGGTGTTGTAGTTTCAATATACAAGGGCCTCTCCAGAATGCCAGATACTCACTGCCCACACAGTCTTCATGTCCTTGTAACATAGGCCACTGCTGCTGCCCCTGGACCCTTGGCACATGCCCGCATCACACTGTCACTCACTGTTCCAACTTCCAGATGCTATTGTACATGTGTTTTTCAATTTAATGTTCAAATATGTTCTGTTTACTCTCATGTTTGTCAATCAGTATCATAGTTACAAGCTAAATGTACAATTTTCAAGTCATCATTTATTGATATGCGTTTTAATTATGGCATATAGAGATGCTATGGAGCATTTTGTTTTCATTACATCCAAGCTACACTTGCTTAAATGGCCATTATTGGTGCTTATTGGTGTTTCTAGATAAATATGTTTATTTCAGTGTTTTATATTCCAGAAGCAAACAGAATGTGAATTTAACAAAAAGTCATTGGCATAGTAAAAATACACTTTTTACACTTTTAGAATGAAACCTACAAATTTTCCTCCAAATACCAAATGATACATTTTAACAACCTTATTCAGTAGAGAAGACAATTAATTAACTGAAGAGAATTGCCAAGAATCTGGCTTGTGGTTCAATATTACAATGGCATTAATTTCTGAAAATGTTCCAAAATTTCTAATAAATCTCAAGCAACTAGTCAGTAGGCATTTTGAAGCATTTGGTTAGCTGATTCTAAGCCTTATATGGAAATATACATGAAGATTAGCCAAGGCACGTTTAATCAAGAATAATAAGGACTGTATTCTCTTAGGAGATATCAAGACTTACATTGTAGTTATCATAAACAGAGAGTATGTGTTGATATAGAGATAGACAAATAGATCTTAGAGTAGAAAGACACAAACCAAACAACACACATGTAGACATTATGCATGTGTGACTGTGTGTATAATAGAGATAGAGGTAACACATGCATACATACAAACTGGCACTATATGTAATATAAATTGTTGATATATAACACTGGTAACATTAAGAGATTTATGGGAAAAAACAAATTTTGAAGGAATTATTTCAGAGCAATTGGTTACTCATGTGGAAAAAATAGAATTGTATTTATCTCTTCCAAAATATTATTTAATATGGCAGACTACCTTCACTACCTTAGCAAAGGGAAATGTTTTTTTCATTCAAGTGACAATAAAGCATTTACCCTAAAGAAAATGGGATAAAAATAAAGAGATTCCAGGATATTTGGACATTATTCATTCTTTAGTGAATAATTGTATGACTAAATGTCCTTCAATAAAATCTGTGTAAGAAGAATATTCTCTGAAATGCAGTACAGGGATATTTCTTAGAGGCACCAGACTTCTACCCAAAGGATGGCATCTGACACATAAATTGGCTTTATATGGAACTAGGTAAAAGTTCAGAAGATGCAGGACTCGAGGTTGGTTACTAATCAGAACACCTAGCATTCTTATACCTATCTGTACTAAGTGGTACATCAACACCTTGGTGAGGAAAGCATCCTCCCAGTACTCTGTGGAGATGGTGAGAAGAGAATTGGACAGGAGTTACATAATCTTTGCCTCTCACATTCCCATCTCTGAGCTGCTATGGACACCTTCCTCTAGGATTTA